AAAAAAAAAAAAAAAAGAAATAAATGATTTCCTGATATAGAATGAATTGTTTGGGTGAAGTGGTAGGGATGAGGACATTACTTCTTATACCTCAAGAAAAAAGCAGCTATTAAAAGCTAGAATATTGTACTGATCTCTGTTTAAGCCAGACACCCAGTGACTGGGTGTTTTTTGATTGTTGTGGTTAGTGTTATGGAGAAGTGATGACCTCCTGCTCCTTAATAACGTTTAAGAATTGACCCAGTAATCCAGTATTGGGGTTTACATGCAAGAAAGTTAATTAGAAATAGTGCATGATCCTTTCAAAATATCTTAATATTAACTTTGCCGTTTCATGTTTCTCTTTTAACTGTCTTATAAATTTTGATACCACTTGCCATAAATTGTTGATTACTTAGTTCAAGTCCATAGTAATGTTTTTGAGGTAGTCAGTATTTGTTCTAAACCTTCTTTAAGCGCAAGGTTGAAAGTTTCAGATGTGACAGATTTTTTATAAATTCCCAAATAGGCCAGTTTTCACCATGGCACTCAAAAGAGATCATCTAGAAATTTCATTGCACCTTTTGGGGAAGGGTTAATCTGTCCTCTTCAACTTCATATTTATTATCTAATCATTTCACCATTAGCCTTTACTTCTAGGGCATTGATGTCTTTGTTTGGCTTTATTGTTTAGTCTGCAGACGTATAGATGCAGATATAGAAGTGTTTTGAAGATGAGCTGTTTACCTGGAAACCCATAGTGAAAATGCGTCATGTGGTGCATTTCATTCTTCTACTCCATTTGGACATTTGAAGACCAAGAGAGAACATTGTGAAATGGTCAGAGTGATGGTGACAGTTTAGATATGGTATTAGTGGTTTGTTTTGTGGCTTCAAGTTTACAATCTTTCAAAATAGAATAGAGTATCCACTGATTTCAAAAGAGCCGTGGTTGACTCCAAGGCCTCTCAGGTAGGGCATGTGGATTTGTTCTTTCTGAAAATGTGTCTTCTCCTCCGTATAGCACTCATTGTTGTTCCTTCTCTAGGGTCCCTGTGAGAGACTCTGTGAAGACCTGGTTCTCCAGAGATAGCTCCATCCCAGAAGCACTTCACCTAAAAGGACTTGTCAAGCCAGACGATGCCCGTTGAGCTGGGGCAGGCCCTAGTCCTGCTGCCGCCACTGGCGAAGGCTGAGGACTCCCCATTCCCTGGCCCAGATGCTGTCCCTCGCGGGGAGCTCTCTAGCCCTGAGGCTGCACGCCAGCTTTTCAGGCAGTTTCGTTACCAGGTGATGTCTGGGCCCCACGAGACCCTGAGGCAACTTCGGAAGCTCTGCTTCCAGTGGCTGCAGCCAGAGGTTCACACCAAGGAGCAGATCCTAGAGATCCTCATGTTGGAACAGTTCCTGACCATCCTGCCCGGGGAGATCCAGATGTGGGTGCGGAAACAGTGTCCAGGCAGTGGAGAGGAGGCAGTGACCCTCGTGGAGAGCTTGAAGGGAGACCCCCAGAGACTGTGGCAGTGGGTAAGCAGAGGTATCATGATCTGTGAGTGAAGCACAGGGCTCTTCTGGGGTCTTATCAGATGTGTTGTCTTTTTTTTTTGACATCAAACATGTGGCATTTTCCACACCAACGATCAATTCTCCAATTCTCTGATACCAGCTGGGTGTCCTACAGTTCAGTTCAATTTTGACACTAACTATCTGGGATTGGCTCAGACCTCACAGGATAGGGGTCAGTCTCACAAGACTGCCCCCATTTCAGACACCAGTTGCAAGTTGCAGATGCCACCTATACTAATGACTGACTAGCTATAAATTTGGAGGTTCCCACGACCTCATTCTTGGGTTCGATAATTGCTATGGTGACTCATAGAACTCAGGAAAATACTTATGTTTACCATTTTATTATAAAGGCTATGACTCAGGGACAGGCAAATGGAGGAGATGGGCATGGCACAGAGCTTCCATGCCCTCTCTGGGCATGCCATTCTCCCAGCGCTTCGATGGGTTCAACTCAGAAGCTCCTTAAACCCCATAGTTGAGGGTTTTTTATGGAGGTTTCGTTACTTAGGCATGATTGATTAGTCATTGGCCATTGGTAATTGAAAATCCCTCTCCCTTCCCCAGAGGTTGAGAGGTGGGGCCCAAAGTTCTAACCCTCTAACCACCTGGTTGCTTCCTCTGGGGACCAGCCTCCATCTTGAAGCTTTCGAGGGGCCCACAAAGAGTCTCTCATTAGCATAAACTCAGGTATGGTGGAAAGGGGTCATTATGAATAACAAAAGACACTCCCATCCTTCAGGAAATTCCAAGGGTTTTAGGAACCCTGTGCCAGGAACTTGGGACAAAGACCAAATATATATTTCTTGTTCCACATCAGTGTGCCCCATACCTCACCTAATTCTAAGAATCTCTTTGATTCTCAACACTTGTTAGCCATTAGAGATTGGAGATCAAGTCTCCTATCCCATTCCATCTTTAGATTAGAATGTTTGAGAAGTTATTCAGAAGACTCTTGAGTTTTAATTGGTGGAGACTATCCAGTAGAAACACAGTATTAGTGGCATGTCTTGAAGATCTCCCGGGCCTGATTCAGGCCTCAGCTTTTGGTCTCTCTCAGGATGTTTCCCTCACTGGTTCCTGCTGGGCTAGAAAGAAAAGCTGGTTTTCTCTTTCCCTACTCCATATCCCTAAGGCCTGCCTTATGATCTGTTATGGAAGGTTAGCTTTGTATCTTTCAGAAACCCTCACTCTGGATCTTTTGGTAATTAGTACTATGTGGTCTCTAGATCAGCATCCAAGTTCTAGGACAGGAAATCTTATCAGAGAAGGTGGAATCTCCAACCCGCCGAGTGGGGGAAGTGGAGCCCCATCTTGAAGTGATACCTCAGGAACTGGGACTTCAGAATTCATCCTCCGGGCCTGGGGAGCCGCTCAGCCACATTGTGAAAGAGGAGTCTGACATGGAACAAGAATTAGGTGAGGGGCAGTTATTCATGGTGGAGTGTGTTGCTCTCTTGGAGAAACTTGAGGATGGTGGTTAGAAGGCCAGAGTGAGCTGCTCAGATGGGGATATTTCTGGAAAGTTTGGAGACATGGTAGACCTACATGAATCACTCTGATTTGGAGATTCAAAGTCTGTAATTTAAACCACGTTATGACTGGGCTGGACCATTTGGATTTTGGTTCTGAGGAAGGAGATGGAGGAAAATATGGGTGAGAGAATTTGGAAGGATGGAATTGGAGTTTGTTAGAAAGTAAACCCAAGTTTTTAAATCATGGATGGCAGAACAGGTATCAGTTCTAATTTGTCTAGATTTTATCTATACCCTCTGGGGAATTGTTGAGAGGACATCTAGATTCTTCATACTTCCTGTTTCTCACTTCAGTGATGACTGCTTCCCAGCTTCCTGCCCAACCTGAGGAAAGGCTCATCAGAGACCAGGACTTCGGAGCCTCCCTTCTCCAAACAGCACCTCAGGTGAGCTGGGCTCCCCTGTTTATTTTATCCCTGAACCAGGCTTTGAGGGTGTGTCAACAGTGAGGAGGATTGAAAGGGGAAGCAGTCTCAGAAGTGGAGTTGAGAGGGGCCTCGCAAGGATAACAAGAATCATACACATGGAATGAAACCTGAGTTTCACTATTTCTCTAAGGCAGAATGTTTCCTAATTGTCATCTTGAATAATGGAATCTGGGCCCTGGAAGAAGTTGCTGTGAAGAGGTAATCTTGTCTCTACCCCACATACAGTTGTCTCTCCTTTTTTGATTATCGTCGGGTTATACTAAGAAAAGACTGTCTTTCATTTCCTAGTCTAGGCCTCTCATATAGAAGTCAGTTTGTGGTTTAGAATGGTTATATTTAATGTAGGACAGGTGAATCTTACCCCTCTCCCAGCTTTATGGAGGTATAATTGACAAACAATAAACTGCACATATTTAAAGTGTACAATTTGGTAAGTTTTTTGACATATATACACACGTGAAACCATGACCACTATCAAGATGATAAACATAGTCGTCACTCCCAAGGTGTCCTTTTGCCGTTTGTAATCCCTCCCTCCAGCCCCTCTATGCTCCTCCAATCCTGAGGCACCTACTGATCTGCTTTCTTTCACTATACGTCAGTTTGCATTTTCTAAAATTTTATATAAAATGGAATCATGCCATATGTGTTCTTTGTTCTTCTACATAGAACGTATGTTTCTTGCTTCTTTTAATATTTTGTCACTGGTTTTAAATGATGTGTCTGTGATGAGCCTTGGAGTCATTTTCTTCATGTTTTTTGTTCTTGGGGTTCATTGAACCTCTTGGTTCTGTATGTTTTTTAGTTTTTATCAAATTTGGAAAATTTTTGGCCATTATTTATTGAATTATTTTGTTCTGTCTCTCTTCTCTGCTTCTTTGGGGACTCTGAGAAGAATACACATGTGGGATGTGTATAGTGATAACGTGTATACGTATACAGTCATGCACCGCATAACAGCGTTTCAGTCAATGATGGACCACGTATATGACTGGTGGTCCCATAAGGTTATAATGGAGCTGAAAACTTCCTATCGCCTAGTGATGTCGTAGCCATTGTAACATCTTAGTGCAATGCATTAATCGCGTGTTTGTGGTGATGCTGATGTAAAAAAACCTACTGTGCTGCCAGTCATGTAATAGTATAGCACATACAATTATGTACAGTACGTAATGCTTCATAATGATAATAAATGACTATGTTACTGGTTTATGTATTTACTATACTTTTTATCGTTATTTTAGAGTGTACTCTTTCTACTCATAAAAAGATTTACTGTAAAACAGTATGCTGTGTTGTGTCAGCAGCAGCCTCACACATCTTGTTTGCATCTCTTGATTGCATCGTTTTCTCTCTTGCTTGATTTAATCTCGTATTGTTTTGTTCATCATGGCCCCTAAGCATACACAGTCCACTGCTAATGTTGCCAGTAAGAAGGCATATTGAGTGACTGACCTGGAAATTAAAAGTGATTAAGGACTATGAAGTTAGAAAATCAGTGATGGTTATTGCTCGCCAGTCAGGCATGTCCCATTCCACCATAGCTGTGATCTTGAAGAACAAGAACAAAGTGATAGAAGCTGTTAAAGGATCTGCTTCATTTAAGGGAACGAGACTAACAAAAATTTGAGAAGGGCCTCTGTCAGACATGGAGAGACTTCTAATGACCTGGATTGAAGACCAAACACAGAAGTGTGTCCCTTTCAGCACCATAACAACCATGGCCAAAGCAAAAAGTTTGTGTGCAATGTTGAAAGAAAAGGCTAGACCCAGCTATGATATTGAATTTACTGCTAGCTCTGGGTGGTTTAAAAGCTTCAAGAATCGTTATTCATTACATAATGTGAAAGTGAGTGGTGAGTCTCTGAGTGCTGATGTAAAGGTGGCTGAAGAATTTTTGGAAACTCTAGATGAGCTGATTGTGGAGGAAAATTACTTGCCAGAGCAAATATTCGATATGGATGAAACCTCCTTATTCTGGAAACAGATGCCTGAAAGGACTTTCATCCACGAGGAGGCCAAGTCAATGCCAGGTTGCAAGGCTTTTAAGGACAGGATAACAGTCTTGCTTGGGGGCAATGTTGCAGGCTACAAATTGAAACCCTTTCTGATCTGGCACAGTGAAAACCCCAGGGCTTTCAAGCATATTAATAAACACACACTGCCAGTGTACCACAGGAGCAATAAGTCATGGATGGCCCAGCTCCTCTTCCAAGATGCCCTCCTGAATTGCTATGCCAGCCAAATGAAGAAGTACTGTTTGAAGAATAACATACCTTTCAAGATTTTGCTTATTGTTAATGCTCCTGGACATCGTCTTTTTATTGGTGATCTTCATCCCAATACCAAAGCAGTGTTTCTCCCTCCAAACTCCACCTCTTTAATCTAACCAATGGCTTAAGGAGTTAAAGCAGCTTTTAAGGCCTACTACCTGAGGAGGACCTTTGCCCAGGCTATTGCTGCAATTCTGGAAGGATTACAACATCTATGATTGCATCAAGGAGTGATGGAATCTATGATGTCACCAAGGAGTGTGTGAATGGCATCTGGAAGAAGACACTCAAGAGGTTCGTCCATGACTTCAAAGGATTTGCCTAGGATGAGGAAGTTGCAAAAATCAACAAGGCTGTGGCTGAGATGCAAACAACTTGAACTTGGATGTGGATGAGCATGACATTGAGGAGCTCCTAGAGGTGGTTCCTGAGGAATTTACTAATTAGGAGTTGTTGGAACTGGAACATGAATGCATAGCTGAAGAAGAGGCAAGAGAAAAGAAAACGGCAGGAGAAGAAAAAGAAGAAGCCCCAAGAACATTCACAGTGAAGAGTTTAGCAGAAGGTTTTACAGACCTCAACAAGCTTGTTAAAATGTTTGAAAACATGGACCCCAGCACCAAAAGGTTTTCATTAAAAGAGAGGAACATTATCTGCTTATAAGCAAATCTCTGATGAAAAAAAGAAACAAGCCAAGCAAACCACCATAAGACATATTTCTGAAGAGTGACACCTCCTCAAGAAAAGCCTGAGGCAGGGCCTTCAGGAGACATTCCAGAAGAAGGCATTATCATCATGGGAGATGATGGCTCCATGCATGCTATTGCCCTGAAGACCTTCCAGTGGGACAAGATGTGGAGTGGAAGACGGTGATACTGATGATCCTGACCCTGTCCAGGCTTAGGCTAAGATGTATGTTTGTGTCTTAGTCTTTAATAAAAAAGTTAAAAAAGTAAAAAAAAAAAAAAAAAAAAAAAAAAAAAAAAAAAAAAAAAGTTTTAAAATAGAAAAACTTATAGAATAAGGAAAAAAAGAAAAAAAATATTTTTGTACAGCTGTACAGTGTGTTTGTGTTTTAAGCTAAGTTATTACAAAAGAGTCAAAAAGTTAAAAAGTTTATAAAGTTAAAAAGTTACAGAAAGCTAAGGTTAATTTATTACTGAAGAAAAATTTCTTTAGATAAATTTAGTGTAGCCTAAGTTTACAGTGTTTGTGAAGTCTACAGTACTGTACAGTGATGTCCTGGGTCTCACACTCACTCACCACTCACTGACTCACACAGAGCAGCTTCCAGTCCTGCAAGCTCCATTCATGTTATGTGCCCTGTACATATGAATCATTTTTTCTCTTTTTTTGCTGAGGAAGATTCGCCCTGAGCTAACAACTGCTGCCAATCTTCCTCTTTTCGTATGTGAGCCACTGCCACACTATGGCCACTGACAGACGAGTGGTGTAGGTCTGCGCCTGGGAACCGAACCCGGGCCGCTGAAGCGGAGCATGCCAAACTGAACCACTAGGCCACTGGGGCTGGCCCCATTTTTTGTCTTTTATGCTGTATTTTTACTGTATCTTTTCTGTGTTTAGATACACAAATACTATTGTGTTACAATTGCCTACAATATTCAGTACAGTAACACGCTATACAGGTTTGTAGCCTAGGCGCAATAGGCTATACCATATGGCCTAAGTATGTAGTAGGTTATACCATCTAGGTTTGTTTAAGTATATTCTATGATGTTCACATAATGATGAAATTACCTAATGACGCATTTCTTAGTATATATTCCCATTGTTAAGCGACAGATGACTGTATTAGATCTCTTCAAGTTGTTCCACAGCTTACTGATGCTCTTTTCTCTTTCTTTCTTTTTAATCTCTGTATTTCATTTTGGATAGTTGCTATTTTTATGTCTCTAAGTTCATTAACTTTTCCTTCTCCAGTTTCTAATCTGCTATTAACTCCATCCAGTGTATTTTTCATCTCAGATATATTTGTCATCTCTAGAAGGTTGAGTTGGGGCTTTATTATATCTTTCATGGCTGTACTTAACGTGTTCAATCTTTCCTTCGGCTTCTGGAACATATGGAATATGGTTATAATGTCTACATTAATGTCCTTGTCTACTAATTTATCACCTATGTCAGTGCTGAGTCAGTTCTGATGGATGGACTGGTCTCCTCGTTATGAGATGTTTTTCTGCTCTTGGTATGTTTGGGAATTTTTGATTTGATGTTAGACATTGTGAATTTTACCTTGTTGAGTGCTGGATATTTTTACATTCTCTAAATGTTCTTGAGCTTTGCTCTAGGATGCACTTAGGTTACTTAGACATAGTTTGTTATATGGCACCAGAGAAGTCTTTAGGGCTAATTTTTCCCCTCTACTGAGGCAATACCCTTCTGAGTCCTCTACCTGATTGTCCTTGATGTACAAGGTGTTCCACTCTGGCTGGTGGAAATATGAAATATTTCCAGCCTGTATGAGCTCTGGGGATTGTCCCCTCTGCTTCTTTTGGGAACCTTTCCTGGACTTGAGGGGTACCCTCTGCAGATCTGTGGATGTTCCCCCTTGCCCCCCCTCAGGTCTTCTGCTCTGCTAACTCTGTAATGCCCTTGATCTCCCCCTGCTCAGCCCAGAAGGGCCACTGGGATCTGCCAGGATTCCCCCTCCCTGTCCTGCTGCCTGGATGCTTCTCCAGGCAGTAAGTTTGGGCACCTGTAGGACTCATCTAATTTGTTTTCTCACTTTCAGGGATTTCTGTTCTCTCTGCCTAACATGCAGTGTCTGCAGACCATTATTTTGTATGTTTTGTCTCCTTTTTTAGTCATTTCAGGCAGGAAGGTAAATCCAGTCTCTGTTCCTCCATCTAGGCTGTAAACAGAAGTCTCTGGGACAGTTTTATCTTGATTGTGTAGTTGACAACTCTGTAAGTTGGATTTGATAAAAAAAAGTTTTTCGGGAACCTATACACCTTAATCAAAACATTGTTTCAAACCTTTGGGGAACTCTTCTTGGGACTTGCCTCGTGAGGTACTTTAGAGTGAAGGGAAAGATAGGAAGCCGATAGGTGGTGCTTAATGCAGTGCTGAAGACCAGGTCTGAGCTTCAGCTTTCCAGGCTCAAAGATTTAGACACCAGAAAACCAACTTCACAGTTTACCCTGGGGGACAGAGTTAGGAGGGGGCAGCGGGGGATATACCTTTTTAGTGACTCAAAGGTGCCCTTCTTCCTCCTTTTAAGGTACCCAGAAACCAAACTGCTAGGCAGGAGGTTGCTTGGTGAAAAAGATTTGGGTATTCTGTCAAATGTTTCAAGCGGACTTGAGGACTACTGTTGCTTCTGTAGTAAGTACAGAGTATCCCTATGAAAGGTATATACAATTTATGAACATATTTTAACTAGTGGAGTTAAACATTAACTCTACGTAACATAACAACATTAACCATGACCTGTTCTGGATAGCTTAAAGTCAAAAGATTCAAAATGCTCACCAGCAGCACTGTATATATGTACATGTATGTATGTGTGTATATATTTATAAAATTCCCTATACTTAGCAGATAACTGATTAATAGTCACTCAACCCAAACAAACAAAAACCATCCCTACCCAATCCCAATATCCCTCCCCCAAACTAACAACAACTGTTTGCATCAGAAGGACCTTGATATTTAATAGAATTATCTTGTAAGTGAAGGGAATTTTTAAATATAGGTAATCATTCCCTCTAATCTCTTCCATAAGTTAGGAACTTCGTGAATAATGCCAGAGTAATGTAGTAGCATCGCTACTCTGTGGTACTCTGTTATTAGAAACCGTGACTGAGTTAGAACCTCAGTAGACTCAGGGATGCATGTACTCACATTCTGTGTTTTGAAACTTTGGAAAAGGAACTCAGTACAAATAACTGTGCAAGTCAATTGTGGCAATGTCTCAGAAACCCACAAGGTGGTGCTGTTTCCACACAAAACCGAGATTATTTCCCCATCAAATCCCACACTTCCCTCCTTCCAGAATAGGAATTTAGATTTTTTCCTCCTCTCATAAAAATGAGAAAAAAGCAAGATGGCTGCAGTTGGCGCCTTGCCTCTTAAGTAAGGGGTTTTACTCAAGTATCCCAGCTTCTTGGCAATTCCTTGAGTAAGTTCCTGGCTTTAAATTGGAGGTGCACTGTTGAGAGACTCCTGAAGCATCTTTTCTGGTGTTTGAAAGGGCTGGTTGTGGCCTGTGGGGATTGTGGTGGCTGTCTTCTTTTTTGCCTTGTGCTGTGCTTGGTAGTTCCCATTCTGGTGCCTACAGAATAGGCCCTGTATCTAGCAAGCCCGGTGGCCATGAGATATTACCGTGGTTGGCGTGCCTGTCCTCTTCTCCGCCAGCACTGAAGCAAGAGTCTGCGTTCTGACCGGGAAGCCTGAGGACTCCCGTATTCTGCAATGTTTGCTCAAGCTGGTTATTTTCAGGAGGTTGTTAAGGCAGCTTCATTCACAGAAGATTAACAAAATAAGCTGCTAACAATTCCTACTTTTAAAATAAAAAATTTAAAATTTAAATTCATACTAAAAATATGGTGATAGTTAATAGTTAAATGTATTGAGGTCACTTTTCACATTTTCACCCTAAAAAATCTAACCCTTTTTCTTTTTTAAATTTTTGCTTAGTGTCTGCTAATTAAAGACTTTTTGGTCTCTCCATTCTTTTTCACTTTTTCATTTTTTCACTTTTTCATTTCCACTTCCCTTTGTTGTGCTGGGGGCAGACTTGATTTAGGACCGAGGATGGCTTCCCTAAGTAGTATACTGTGTGTGCTAGGAGATGACTTCCTCTTCTCGTCCTTCCTCTCTTCCTTTCTGCTCCTGTAGCCTGGCTATTCATGACAATAATGGATGGCTATCAACTTTGGGGTTCCTGAAAGTGTACGGAATCCCTTAATTCTCTCTGCAAACCCTTGGGGGTGAGTCTGGGAGACCGAGTATCCCACAGACTGCATATGATGGTAATAATAATATAGATCACCTACTGAGGACTTCTTTGCTAAGGGCTTTATTTCACCCAGACAACATGTATTGAGTGCCTGCTCTGTCCTGGGCAGGGCGTGGGGACTGGGAAAGAACAGTGGAGTGTCCTTTTCTCATGGCCGTTACATGTTAGTAGAGGCAACTGTCAATCAAATACTTATGTGTGTGTACATACACATAAATATTTAATAAACTGTGATGAATGCTATGAATGAAAAGTACAATGTGCTATGAAAACAAGTGACGCTTCGTTATTTCTATTAAACTTCCCGACAATTTTTTGAGTGCAATACTATAAGTAGGAGAGAACTGAGGCTCAGAAAGGTTAAGTTACTTGCTTAAGATCACACAGCTACAAAGTGGCAGAGCTGGACTTGAAACCTTGTATGTTTGACTCCAAAGACCGTGCTATTAATCACTCTTTCTATACAAACTGAGTTTCTAACAGTCGGCTCCTTATTGAGAAGATTGAAATTTGAATTCACAAAAGTAGGCTGTAGTTAGACAGGATTCTCAGTTTTGAGTCTCCAGTGCCCAGCTCCCTGGGAAAAGAAGGGCATGTTTGGGGGATAATTGAGGGACACTTTGCTCCAGAGAACCCATCAATTTCACACCACCTGGGAGGAAAACTGATTTAATTTTAGACCCTAAACTCAGAACTGTTGGGAGATTCCAAGTGTGTATGGCTGCAGCCTCTCTCTCTGCTCTGAATCCACCGTTCTGTGTTTCAGAGGGAGACTTACAGCTCAGTTGACATCGTTGTTGACTCTTGCCACCGTTTTGCTGATTTGCACTCGCCTTTCCAACAAATTCCTTTTAATTTTTTTGTTTTCCCCCTTGAATTTCCAGATTTTAGAGAACTCTTGGGAATATCAGGCTCCTACTCTTCAAAGGCCTCTGTTCTAAGCACTAAGGAGTTAAAACAAAAAGGACAGTGTGGAAAAGGCTCCTGCCTTCTCTTTGCTCTCCACTCTTAAATTCGTGCAGCTTAAAAAAATCCAGGACTTAAAACCTAAATGTTTTCTAACCAGGGTAAGAAATACTCATGTAGGGACTGTACTTTTTCCCTGGCCTCTTCCCTTGAACTGCCCACCATGATTTCTTAGATCTTCTGATGGCCAGGATCCTAAGGCACATTCCTTTCTTCTCAGCTTTCCCGTAGGCAGAGAAGGCAGAGTTCAGAAACCTTCATTGGAGTCACGGCATTGTATTTTTTCTAGGAGCAGTGGAGGCATCTGGATTCTATTCAAAAGGAGCAATACTGGGATCTCATGCTGGAGACCTATGGGAAAATGGTCTCAGGAGGTGAGGGCGGGTTAGCCTGTTGGAAGGAGATGGGAAGGCTGTTAAACATTTTCTGTGTACTCTTGGAGATAGCTGCTCTACTTGAAGTTCTCTGGGTGAAGGAAATCGCTAGAGACATGGTTGGGAACTGGAGATAGCAGAGTTACAGTAAGAACTTCCTTGTATTGAAAGTATTCTGTGTGCCAGGAACTGTTGTGGGTGCATTACATATAGTAACTCCTTTAATCTGTGAAATGGGTGATGGTATTCCCATTTTAAAGATGATGAAAGTGAGTGTCAGATCAAGTCACTTGCTCACTGTTACGTAGCTTATAAATGGTGAGTTAACGGTGGAACTCAGTGTGGCTGACTCTGAGTCCCTGCTCGTTTCTACTAAACCACATAGTCCCAATCAACCATTAGTGGGGTTCCAGTCATGACCCTTGCACTAGCTTGTCGGGTGGTCTGCAGGCCCTTCTGGCCATCTGCCCAGATTCTTCTTTTTGTGGCCTTCACCATATATCCTAGTCATCTTGTGAGTACTGGTGTCTTGGACGCTCCACACACCCTTACGTGATCTCCAGAGCCTTCATATTTCCACTTCACACTCAGGGTGTGCCTTTGAAAGACACAGCGTGGTCCCCAATCCTCCCCATTTATTGCTTTCTCTCTGTACCAGGCATTTCCAATTCCAAGCCTGACCCAACTATTTCAACAGAGTGTGGGGAAGAGCTGGCAGGACTGCACCTTCATGTCAGTGAGAAGACCCCAAGACCCACCTGTACAGGTGAGTGATCTTTCTTTGGTCCAGAGCCATTTCTGACCTCCTGTCATTAGATTGAAGGTGGTGGGGGAGGTATTAGGACTTGATTTCTATTACATTGGTTATAACTAGCCACGATCTGGTCAGTCCAGTTTGAATACCGAGGCTCGGTCTCCTCATCTCTTGCTATAGGGCTGTTGACACATATATTTAATCATGAAAGAAAGACTACACGTCAGATCTGCTGCCTTCAGTCTTGTCTGCTGTGACAGCTTTCTTTCTCAGAGAGAGTTAAGATTAGTACAGATTAAGACCAATACAGATATGGGTAAAATTCCATGACAAAAAAAAGATTATGTAACAGCTATTATTACCCTTCCTAACTCTTTTGTTTTTCTTTTTCTTTTCTTATTTTGGTTATAGTGAATAGTAACCAACCCACCATCACAAAATAAAACAAAACAAATAAACAGAAAAACATATTTTAGCTAATCTCCATGCATCTAACTTTCTTAAACAGCAGCAACAACAAATACTTCATGTAAATCACGTATTTTAAGACTGGAGAAGAAGAAATATGAACTTGTTCTGTTGTAAAATAGCAATCACTCTTTGCCTTCTACACTCTTTTTAAAACATTGTGGTTATGTGAAACCTAACTTTCAAACCTATCTACACACACACACACACACACACACACACACACTTTTACATATACAAAAGATCCCAGAACTCGTTTGGAGGAAGAAAAAGACCAAGGATGAGAATTGTATAACTTGACATTCTTTCTCCTCAGTGGGATCTAATTAATTATTTTCCTTTGCTAATATACCAAAGCATATGATTTTAATTTTAAGCAATATATTTATCATAATACTATTTCACAAGGATTTCTTTGGAGCAGTATTTTTCAAACTGCATTTCATGATCAATTAGTGGGTTGTGAAATCATTTTATAGAGTGGCAACCAGCATTTAAAAAAATGAAACGATAATATTGAATGGAAAATATCAGAATACAAATGGAAGATATCAGATGTTGGGGTAGATAGTGTTTCAGGAAATTTTTGTTCCAAACGTGTGTGTATATTCAATATGAATGTATTTCTTACTGTGGGTAGCAGACAAGTTTGAAAATACTGCTTTAGAGGTCGTTAGAGTAGGATTTTTGTTTTAATAGACTTTATTTTTTATAGCAGTTTTAGGTTCACAGCAAAATTGAGCAGAAGGGACAGAGATTTTCCATATACTCCCTTGCAGTAGAATTTTATTTGTGATATAGCTCACTGTATCTCCATATCGCTATTCTTTTTTTTTTACTTCATCCCACCTGCTGACATGATCCCGTTAGATCTTACCTTGAACCAGACTGTGGAGAGTCTACAAAGCCTGCCTGCCTTGATAAGGCAAAGAAATGCCATTGGAGGTTCCTGAGAGGGAGGATATGTGGAAGGAGGTTGAGGAAGTAGCCATGTGCAGGACCGACACTTGGAGCAGAGGAGCCCTGTGGGAAGTTGATGCGGGAGTCCAGGTGTTCAGGGATGAGACCCTAGACTTGTGTGGAAACAACAATAAGAAGATGGGAAAGGAGTAGTTCCATCTCAGAGCTACAACGGTTAGCCAGTCGGCCAGATCTAGACTCACACCAGAGGGCAGAAGTGACAGGAGAGAGTGTATATGCTATTTTATTTGACCATATGGAAGAACAGCTCATAGTTAAAGCAGGTCAGCAGGGGAGTAAGTCTCAAAAAGCTATGTACTCATACTTCTAATCAAAATGCCGAGAAATTAAAAAAAAAAAATTTGGAAAAATGTTTCGTAGGTAGTTATCTGGAAGAATTCTGCAAGAATAGGAAAAAGTTTTGAAAAAAGAATCAATATTAGATCTGTAGATATTGAGTCTGTCATTTTATTTTATTTATTCATTTTTTTGTGAGGAAGATCAGCCCTGAGCTAACATCCGATGCCAATCTTCCTCTTTTTGCTGAAGAAGACTGGCCCTGGGCTAACATCTGTGCCCATCTTCCTCTACTTTATATGGGACACTGCCAGAGCATGGCCTGACGAGCGGTGTGTCGGTGTGCGCCTGGGATCCGAACTTGCAAACCCCGGGCTGCCAAAGCGGAGCGCACGTACTTAACCGCTGCGCCACTGGGCCGGCCCCGAGTCTGTCATTTTAAAAAGGTAAAATCATTAAAATAGTGGGATCCTGATATAAAAATAGATGCACAGACCCATGGAATAGAAAAGGGAGCCTAGGAAGAGAAGCCAGTCTTGGTAAGAACTGAACGTACAGTGAAGGAAGCAGCAGCACGGGGCCCCGGGGTGAGTCGCTCTTCAATGAGCAGCGTCAGGAAAAAAGATTCTTTGGGAAAGGGAATCAGTTTAAATTTTATGTATGTCATATATTGAAATATTTTGGAAATAGATGAAAAAGACATAAAATATGAAAATAAATAACAAAGAGGAAAATGGGTGAATATTTGACTCATATCTGGATGGGGAAGATTTTTATAAGTATAAAAGCAATGTAAAAAAATCATTAAGGAAAAGATTTATAGACTATTTTTTTTGTGTGTGTGTGTGAGGAAGATCAGCCCTGTGCTAACATCTGCCAATCCTCCTCTTTTTTTGCTGAGGAAGATTGGCCCTGGGCTAACATCCGTGCCCATCTTCTTCCACTTTATATGGGACGCCACCACAGCATGGCTTGCCAAGCGGTGCGTCGGTGTGCGCCTGGGATCCGAACCGGCGAACCCCGGGCCACTGCAGCAGAGCGTGCGCACTTAATCGCTTGCGCCACCGGGCCGGCCCCGTAGACTATTTAAAAAGAAAAAACCACCACTCCTATACATAAATATAACCCCAAACAAAATTAAGGTAACTAAATTGGTGAAAAACATTTTTCATGAGCATGACAGATAAATGATTGTTTTTCTAATATAGAAAGAGTTAATGCAAGTTGATAAGAAAAAAATGACTTTCCCAGTAAAAAATGGACAGCAGACTTGGAGCATAAAAAATAGCTCATAAATGTGAAAAAAATTCATCCTTTAATAACTAAGAATTAACATTTATAACAATGAAAAACCATTTTTCACTCTCATTTGTCTAAATGGCAAATACTTAAAAAATATTCAATATTCAATTCATTTGAACATTCACCTCCCCTTTGCCCAGCTTCTTATACCAGAAGATGGCATAGTTGTTCTGGAAATCTATTTGCTAGTAGGTGTCAAGAGCCTTAATAATAACATTCATGCCTGTTGACGCATTAATTCCACTTCAAGAAACCTCCTCTAAGGTTTTGATCAGAAATGTGGGCAAGAATTTATGAAGAAAAATGCTTATTACATCGTTATTTATAGTAGCAAAAACACAATAAACAACTTAGATTTCCACAGTAGGAGAACTCTTAAATAAAATATTCATTTATTATTATGTGTTTATAATGACATCTCCATGCTGGACCATTATTCAGCTCTTTAAAATGGTATTTATAAAGGCTTCTTTAAAAAAAGAATACCTTTGCCATTTGAGGGGAATGTGTTTTAAGTCTTTGTGAATTAACAAGTTCAGGTTTCATTCTCTAGCAGGTGCCTGGGTCTCTAGCAGATAATTTGAAAGATACTAATACAGGAAAGAGAAAGGTAAATAGTTTCTTTAGATCTACAGGAATAAAGCAATTTATAAAAGTTGAAAATAAAATCCACCACCAAAATAAAACCCTTTACTATATGCATCATTAAGCAGCAATAACCAAAAACCTAAGTTATGATGAGAAAAACAAAATTTTAACTGTGATGCGAATTAATGAAGCACAAGTGAATGCTGGATTCAGGCATAGACTGAGAGAGCCTCACTGCACATTACAACCATAGAAAAATAACACATTAATGCATTTCATGAATTTTTGGATTACTTGTGGATGGGAGAATCCATGTGAAATTGATAAATACCACCACTTACAATTTAAATGCTGCAAAGCCACATATAGAACTGTACCTATAATATGGTATCAGTTATGTCAGAAAAAAGCACACACGTGCGTATAGGTTAAATAAAGACTGGGAGAAAGTTGATGCTTGTGGTGGGTACCCCTGGGTAGTATGATTGAGGTTGATTTGGTGGTCTTCTGTATACTTTTCAAATAGTTTTCAGGGATCCTATTTATTTTTTATATATAATCAGATAAAAACCAATCGTTTTTTAAAGTAGTACTCTCATATAATACACTTGTTTTTCCTGGGCCTTCACAAGTGCATGCTGCTTATTTATAGGGCGGTCGGCGAAGCCCTGTATGAGCCCTCCTCTGCTCTCAGAAGTTCTGCTTGGCTCCAGAGCTGAAACCCTTAGCCTGGACACAAGTGAAGTGAGGGCCAGGCACTCAGAGGGGATGATATTTTTCTTCCTCACTCACTGATGCCCTCTTGCTAAAAAGAATTAATGTTTTATGATGACCCTTTCTTTGACATATGAATTAGAAAACAGGGTATACCGTTTATTGAACTGTTTCAAATCTTCTTTCTTCTTTCAGGAAATAGACAGGAGAATGACAAAGAGAACCTAAACTTGGAAAACTATCGGGACCAGGAACCTCAGGCCTCAGGAGAGGCACCTTCTCAGCCTTCCTTGAGTGGCCTCTTCAGCGAGGATGCACCGAGAGGCTTTGGAGAAGGAGAGAATCTCCCTGAGGCTCAGGAAAACCTTCAGGGTGAGGGGGCAGGGGGACAGCTGTCTCCTCAAGAAAGGACTTCTGGGAAACAGCTAGGTCAGCATTTGCCCGGTCCTCATCCCGGAGAACTGTCTGTGCTGTGGCTTGAGGAGAAGAGAGAGGCCTTCCCCAAAGGGCAGCTGCGGGCCCCCATGGCCCAGAAACTCCCCACCTGCAGGGAATGTGGGAAAACCTTTTACAGGAATTCTCAGCTTGTTTTTCACCAAAGGACTCACACTGGAGAGACATACTTTCAGTGCCCCACATGCAAAAAAGCCTTTCTGCGAAGTTCAGACTTTGTGAAACATCAGAGAATTCACACAGGAGAGAAGCCCTGTAAATGTGATTACTGTGGGAAAGGCTTTAGTGACTTCTCAGGATTGCGTCACCACGAGAAGATCCACACGGGAGAGAAGCCCTATAAATGTCCCATCTGTGAGAAGAGTTTTATTCAGAGATCAAACTTTAATAGACATCAGAGGGTTCACACAGGAGAGAAACCTTATAAATGTTCTCGCTGTGGGAAAAGTTTCAGCTGGAGCTCGAGCCTTGATAAGCATCAAAGATCCCACTTAGGGAAGAAGCCCTTTCAATAGCCAGGTTCTCTTAACCCATTTCTATTTCCCGGTCCATTTAAAAATACTTAACTCCATCCACAGAAATTACATCTCTTAGAGGACATTCCTGTTCTCTCTTGTTTCCATGGATTGGAGAGGAGAGACTTAAACATGGTTTTGGACTTGGAGGATATATTGGCCTCTGGATTGGATTTCACACTGGTTATTTCTTGCTTCTACACCAGGAGAAGGAATGGTCTTCATCTTTCAGCTCATCTCTTCTTTTAGACCCCTTGGGAAAAAAGTATCACTTGGAGATCCCATTTTGGAAATGCTGTCTGGGAAGAGTTTGACTGGATTAGCTGCAGTTGCTGCTCATGAGAAGAACCTTGGATCAGCCCTTTAGAACTGGGGTCCTAGACCAGGTCTTCTGTTACAGAAGGGGGAGCAGAGAGGGCCAGTGAGCTCACGTGTGTTCTTTGTCATACGGGTGCAAAATTAACTTCAAGTGCCCCTTGTTTTAAATAAACGTAGTAGAGTCGTTGCTATCTTATTTGTGTCTGAAGTATCCACTGTGTGTTGACTGTAACTCAGTGCATTTTCTCACAGAAGACCCTAAATGGTAGTTGAGCTCCTAGATCAGCCTATACAAACCTATCCAGTTTATCAATCAGCTGGACAGTGATAGGAAAGTACTAACCTGGTGCCCAGGTGTGAGAGCTTGGCCAGTGCTGGGCACTGTTTGTCTCAGGTAAGTCTGTCTCTAGTGTCCTCTTTCTGAGCCCACCTCCCACTTGCTCATGCACCTCAAGCTGCCCCTCTTTCTCCTGGCATCCACTTAGGCTATCATTTTTGCCAGTGTTCTATGCTGTAAAATTATGTTTATTATCTCATTTTATCTGTAGGTGTTAGGAAGAAATCAATAGTATTGATCTAATTTATAGTGTGTCTAGAGGTTTCTTAACACATATATCTAACGTGTCCACCCATCCTTGTCTTCAAAAGTTACATGCCCCAGAGCGTCCTGCTGTCATATAGTGAGACTTCCACCTTCCTTCCGTCTTGGTCCTCCTCTTGCCTGCTCTTATTGTTCTGTGCTTGGTGAGGATCAGGAAGGATGATGCTAATGAGGACGACACAGCTGTCTCCCTGAAAAGAGATTAACCTGTAGGCAAGAAACTCTAAGTTGTTGGCAAACAATGGGAAGTACGTTACTGGTTGATGAGAGAAGAGAAAACTCAGGTTGGAATTCCTGGATTCCAGAGGAATTGATTATCTCCCTTATAGCATGAAGATAAAGCATAAGGCCCCTCTTCAGGGGATGCAGGAATGAAATCATGGGGCAGGAAGCAGGAAAGTCATAGTGGAATTGGCATTAGATTCTGTATTCTGCCTAGCAGAGATTTGTAGGATGGTGGAATTTTATGTTTTAAATCAGGAGTTCTCAAAGTGTGGTCCCTGGACCAGCAGCATCGGCAATTTGTTGGATTTATTGAATCATAAATTTTGAATGGTGGGGCCCAGCAATCTTTGTTTTAACAAGCCCTCCAGAGGATTCTGCTGCCTGCTCAAGATTAAGAACCACTGTTCTAAATAGTAATTAATCCAAGGATAGGTAGGAATAATGATCCTAGAAGGAATAGTGAGCCCTCCTAAACTTTTCTTACCAAACAATCTTCCCCATAGAGCTCTTTAAAACTCATTAAAACTGTGGAACTCTGGACTTGCAGTGAAAATTTGTTCCACAGAGGAAATTCTAGAAAACTTTTAGGTTAAACAGCTCTAGGTGAAGAGTTTCTCCTTGGGTCCCTCTTAAATGATCTGAAGGTTGATAGAGATACAAGGAAACAACCCACCTTGTTCACAATTGTGTTCTCAGCAGAGTAGATGTTAGATAAAAATTTATTGAATGAATATGTGAATTAACAGAGGGTAAATATCAAATATATACGTCCCTTATCGTCTAGAGTGGTGATCAGCAAAATATGGCCCACCATCTGTTTTTGTAAATAAAGTTTTATTGGAATGCAGCCACACTCATTCGTTTATGTATTGTCTATGGCTGCCTTTGGGCTACAGTGACAGAGTTGAGTAGTTGCAACAGAGACAAATGCCCTGCAAAGCCTAACATATGTACTGTCTGGCCCTTTACAGATCAAGTTTGGTGACTCCTGATCCAGAATAATGTTTATCAAATAATAATGTGCATACAAATCACCTGGGGAGGTTGTTAAAATGCAGACTCTGATTCATGGGTGATGCCAATGCCGCTAGTTCACATAGTACCTGGGAGCTACAGCACTGAGTATAGCGCCGTGTGACAACGTCAGGGCTCAAGTGTTTGTGGCTCATTTCTCGTGGTCTCTTTGGGATCATTGATGACTCTGCAACTCGCAAAGCCTGGATCAGACACAGTTGAAGACTCAATCACTTTATTAAGAAAGGTTCGGTGCTATGAAATGCTTCTCCCCTATTCCTGGTTATATACTCCTCCAACTCAGCCTCACTGTAGGCACTTCCCTCTGAGTTCCCTAGAAGCATTCTACAGAATTGTGAGTACTTATGATTTCTTGTCTTTCTATGTGTCTGTGCTCACCCCTCACCCACTTGTCCCTCTGGGCAGCCTCCAGCCCAGCCTTGTTTTCTCAGTGGCTCTGCAGGAAGCTAAATCTGGAGAAGCAAAGCTACTCCAGCTAGAACCCACTTAGATGGGTTCTCCTTAGTCTTCAGGTTGAAAGTCCACACGTAGGTGGGTCCCCGCTGACAAGTCTTGTACACAGGACAAGGATAGACACTGCGGCAATCCTGCTTCTCTGCGGGAATGGCCTTGATGAACATCACAGGCATGGGGGGTGTCAGATCCTTCAGCTTTGCCTCTGTAATGATCCCAGCCTGAGGACAAGAACATGAGAAGAGCCATCTTAGATCAGACCCAGAGCCCAGCCAGTCAGCCTTCTCTTGTCAGAAGATCCAATAGATGAGAAACGAGGAAGGCCTGACTACTTTTATGTCCACCCCCTTACAGGTTCTCTCAACAACTCACAATAGAATGCATCTGATAGGTGGAAAACATGTTTCTACTGGCTTCCAGCCTAAATCACTTTTTGAAGGAGAGTTCCAAAAGCTGTTATGTATTTATCAGATACAAATTAATCCCTTTGAAGCTTGAGTCCCTCCTACTTTTCTTTTTTCATTCATTCATTTCATAAGATATTGAATGCTACTATTTGCCAGATGTCATGCTAGGTGCTGGTGATTTAAAGATGAGTAAGACACAGTTCCTGCCAGCACATGCTTTAGATTTTAAGGCTTGGGTTATGTCCTGTTCAGTTTCATGTGTGAACTCATCCACCCTCTAAAGCATTTTCACTTTTTGAGCAGAGGAAGCTGTGTTCTATCTTTACTCAGGTAATAGGGATCTAACCATTCTGTAGCTTTCCAAGTGGGGCCTCTCTATAATTTTCTGAGATGTCTCTAAAGAGTTGACCAGGGCAGTTTTTCCTGCTAGTCCTGAGAAACATTTTGAGGAAGAAAAGGGTTCCTTCATCAAATGAGCTTGGGAAATGGTGCTTACCATACCCTGGACTTGAAGCTTTACAGTGCACACTAACACATTGAGGACAGGAGAAGTCCTAGCAATAAAGAAAACAGTTTGACTTTATTTAACTTGGTGTTTCCCAAACTTATTTGACCACAGGACCCTTTTCCTTGCAACCTATTCTTTTCCCATGGCACTTGTGTTTTATGGAACATACTTTGGGAAATGCTGATTTAGAGTGATTCACAGATTCCTTCCCTATGTCCAGGTAACACTGTGCCTCTTATGCTATAGATAGAGTTTGGTTTATTTCCCATGAAATTTATTTAAAGGGAAAGATGTTCCCTCTTCAGTTCTTTTAGATGCTGATATCAGGCATGATGAGTAATAGAACTAAGGTAAACAGTGGGGACTCTCTTGCACCCTACAACTGAGTGTTTATGGCGGGGAGTGGGAGGAGGGGTAGAACGTTTTTTTCCTCACATACCATAAAACAAACTCTTTTAAAATGTACAATTCTGTGTTTTTAAATGTACAATCATCACTTTCTAATTCCAGAACATTTTTTGGGCCGGCCCGGTGGCGTAGTGGTTAAGTGCGTGTGCTCCGCTACTGGCGGCCCGGGTTCAGATCCTGGGCACGCACCGACGCACCGCTTCTCCGGCCATGCTGAGGCCGCGTCCCACATACAGCAACTAGAAGGATGTGCAGCTATGACATACAACTATCTACTGGGGCTTTGGGGAAAAAAAAGGAGGAGGATTGGCAATAGATGTTAGCTCAGAGCCAGTCTTCCTCAGCAAAAAGAGGAGCATTAGCATGGATGTTAGCTCAGAGCTGATCTTCCTCACACACACACACAAATAAATAAAATAAAATAATTCCAGAACATTTTCATCACCCTCAAAAGATACTCTGTAACCATTAGCAGTCATCATTAGTGGGGGGGTATTGACGACTCCAATTGTTATGGTTGAAGTCTCTATTTGAATGGCATGTTTTTTTCCATCTGTTTACTTCCAGTCTATTTGTGTCTTTGAATCTAAAGTGTGTCTCTTGTAGACAGCATATAGTTAGATCATTTTTTAAAATGTATTCTGCCATTCTGTGCCTTTTAATTGTCGTGTTTAATCTATTTACATTTAATGTAATTACTAATAAGGTAAGATTTACATCTGCCACATTACTATTTGTTTTCTGTACGTCTTATGTCTTTTTTTGTTCCTCTCTTCCTCTATTCCTGCTTTCTTTTGTGTTTAATATATATACTTTAGTGTACCATTTTAATTCTCTTATTTCTTTTTACTATATTTTAAAAAATTATTTTCTTAGTGGTTTCTCTGCAGATTACAATTAACATATCTTTTTTTTTAAGATTTTTTAATTAATTAATTTATTTTTCCCCCCAAAGCCCCAGCAGATTGTTGTATGTCATAGCTGCACATCCTTCTAGTTGCTGTATGTGGGATGCAGCCTCAGCCTGGCCAGAGAAGCCGTGCGTCGGTGCGTGCCCGGGATCCGAACCTGGGCTGCCAGCAGCGGAGCGTGCGCACTTAACCGCTAAGCCACGGGGCCGGCCCTAACATATCTTAATGTATAAAAATTTGCTTTAGATTAATACCAACTTAATTTCAGTAGTATACAAAAACTTTACTCCTAAATGGTTCCATTCCTTCTCCTTCCTGTGCTTAAGAACTTGTGTTGTTTTCATCATATAAATTACATCTTTGTACATTTTATGCCTATCAACACAAGAGTTATAATTATTGCTTTATGCAGTTGTCCTTTAAATCAGAGAGGAGAAAAATAAAAGTTACAAACAAAAATTCATTTATATTATCTTTTATATTTACATATGTAATTCCCTTTACTGATCTTCTATTTCTTCATGTGAACTTGAGTTACTGCCTAGTGTCCTTTCTCATCCTGACAGACTCCCTTTAGTATTTCTTGTAGGGCTGCTCTGCTGGTGATGAAGTCTTTCTCACTCTTTTTTTTTGAAATCTGAGAATGTC